TTATTAGAAGAGGACATTTAATATTATAAAAAGTCTATGGCCATTACCCAAATGATAGTTCCTAATTGGATCAGACAATGTTCAATTTAAACTATCCATAAACGTTTTGAGAAATAAACTACTTGTAAGTTCTCTTTTTGTAGCTGGATACAGTAAAGCCTGAGTAGAGTTGAAAATTTAAATATCTCATTTTCATAGTAATTTGCTACTTTGCTAAACAAGACCTCCACATATAAAAGTTGCATACCAGCACCTGATAGCTGATACTCTGAGAAACCAACTGCAAGGTAAATAGAAAAATCTTTATTCCCCACATTATACAATCATACCCTTTAATCATATCATTAATACTGTTTGTAGATTTTTCAAATGTTTGCCTGTGTTTATATTGTCTAAATATATCTAAACAGTATATAAAAAAACAGTTCATCTATATAGTTATTAGACACAAACTGTTATATCTTTTATTAATACAAAGTAAAGCAGCTGCTATATGATACTTACAAATATTTATCCATATCATTATTAGTTGTAAACAATCAGGACAATTTGAGTTTCAAATGCTAGTTACCCTTGGTCATTAAGTTAGACAATGTTCTACCAAATCATTGCTAAACTGCAACTCTTTCACTTAAAAAACATTTTTTAGGCAAATAATCCTTTAAACTATCATTTAATGACTAGAGATTCTATGCACAAACAATTAGTCACACATGCAAGATGTCCTTTGCCTCCAAAATTCCAACACAGTCAAGCATTTAAAAAGTATCTGTAGACAGACAAGATGAACAGAAAGAGATGCGTGACTAACACTAAAGATTAAGTATCAAGTGGAAGTCAAACATTACAGTAGTGATATTTGATATGTAATATGAAATCAAATGTCATCAACAAAGTGCATTATTTGTACTTAATAGCACAACTACTCATTTAAAAAAAAATTACTTCAATTTGTCAACCAATATCAAAACAAAAAGCTAGATCATTATCAAATCATCTTAGAAAGCACAAAAGAGAAATTATTTAATAAATTGAAATTCAAAACCAATCACAATTCATTATACATTTGATATTTAAAACATTTTTAAGTGTTACAAGTAGCTTTCCACAAAGAAGGGTTATGGTTAAAATTAGTAGTTACACACCATCAGCTAAAAAGATTCACTTATTGTAACTTATTAAATTATTTTGAGTGTTGAGAGAAAAAAAAAAAAAAAAAACTTGTTCAGGGCAAAAGGGATCTAGACTTTAATCATAACAATTGGAAACACCAAATTCTTTCCTTGCCTGCAATAATGATTAAGTAGTGAGTACTGCAATGGGTTACAGAATATATAAAAAGATAAAAAATAGCTTCATTTACAAATATGTCACCTGATACATGTTTTTTTTTTTAAATCTATATTTCAAGATTAACTACAAAAAGAAGACTTTATTTCAATTTGTAATCAGATTTTTCTTCTTTTTCCTTGATGCTTCATTAACACTGTAATTGAACTAATATTTTGCTTTGCTACATAGAGTATGTGCAAAAGATTATTAGCCTCTGCTATTAACTGGTTACACAAAGCCCATTTGTTACTCTGTATAATTCATATTAACCTGTTTTACATTAGTGATCAATATTTGAATATGCATATTGCAAAATAATAGCTATTTCATTTTAACAATGATGAAAAGCACCATATAGCAATTTAAATTTTCAGTATAAAATTCAAATTTTAATCCATACAGTTATGTTATTTATTTTCTACAATAAGGATTAGGTGTACACAAATGTCATTAAATGAAACTTAAATTTGTTATAGTGCAATCACTTACAAACTTATAAATGAAAAATAGTGATATATTCTTGCGAAATCAAGCTCAACAATATAGAGAAATCAAAAACAGCTGTAAAATTTAGAAAAGAAAGTTTTCTTTCCTAAAGGGAAAAAGTTTAATTGATGACTAACCAAGACTTTAACAAGAACAGAATTTTTATATACACATTTACTGACAGAATTCACCCACGTTTCTTTGTTTTTTATTAAAGCATATACATAATTTGTCCAGTGACAACTGAGCTACTTAAAATTATATTGATAGCTACCTGTCGACAGGTATCTCATGGAGACACAGATTTGGAAATCTATTTTTAGAAGAAGGGGAGGTAAACCTCAAAAATTTTGTCAACAAAAAAATTTGTTGTTCAAGTTGTCTTTCTTAGGAGAGACATTATAATTATTAATTTTATTACTATTTGTTTGTCTCTCATGTTAGTTCGTGCTGGTGTTTTAGTTTTACTTTTTTCTCCAAAGCTGAAGCCATTTTTACATCCTGTGACTTAAGTAGTATTCATAACAGATAACGATTCTAAAATTTGAAGTGATATCTCTTGTTCCAATCAGACAAGTTCCATAGAGGATTTTTATCCATGCTGTTTGCTTAACAGTAATAGAATATAAAAATGGCTTGAGCTTTGCAAAAACGAAAACAAAAAATAAAATAAAATGCAAAAGCTAATAAAAAATGACAATTTATGCTTGAATTAAAGAAAATATCAATAGTATAATACAGAACAGACAAATATATAAAACTTTATATAACCTGATACTAAATACAGATACTTTACAGCTTTAATAAGTAAAAGCAAAATGCTATTAAATAACCTAGCAATCATTTTAAAAATAGACCAAATTAAGAATGTGTGGATGTGCATGTATATATAAACCATTCATTACTCAATTTCATGAATTTCTGTTAGTTTTATTTTTACTCCTCAGAAGATGAAAGCAATGGATGAAAAGTAAAATCTATTAAAAAATAAAAAAAAATATTCAAATGCACTAGTAAGATATTAATGTTGCAGTTCTCTCAAAAATACATCAACCTCAAGATATATGTATAATTTTTTTTTTTTTTGTTTCCGAACAATTATAAATTACATTGAAGGGTTTATAATTTCCATAAGTAAACAATGTGCAAAATAATATTAGAGATTTCAATAATACTGTGTGAAAGAAAGAGTATAATGAATCCTAGGAAAAATGTAAGCAAACAAGCAATTCTAAAATTTGAAAAAAAAAAAAAAAAAAAAAAATCATTGATTCAACTTTAAATCCCTATCAGTTATTCACAAATTTGCACTAGATCCAAAACTCAGAAAGGACACACATTCTTCTAAGGACTAATTATTATGCTTCTTTTTCTCTTTTATTAATAGATACTGAGTTAGTTATTAAAATGTATTTTACTGTTTGGAAATATTGATTTAACTTCATTAAAAAAAAAAAAAAAAAAAAAAAAAAAAAAGATTACTTTTATGTGACAACAGTCATAACATGCATTTTTAAAGAATTGACAAAATGTTTGATTATTCAAACATTGATGATGGAAAAGATTGTAAACATTTTCAACTTATCCTTTTTTTATTTTAAGATAAAAAAAAGATACTGTGAATAATTTAATGTTAAAATTAGCTTGCAATGTATAATAATGATCACTGGTTGAGCAGACCAAAATAGCTGGATAGTAATAGTCAACATTATAGAGGACAGCCAACATGCTCAAAATATCTAAAGTGGTTTTAAATCAATTTCATTACTTTGGTGATGTTAATCACTTTAATGTAGAGTTTCCATATTAACAACAGAAAAAAAAAATTCTGAGCTGCAATTCCAAGTGTAATCTGATTCTTCAAGGTAACAAAATATTTAATTTTTAAAACAAATTATGAGGTGCAATGAAAAGTGAATACTTTCCAACACGTAATGCAAGTGATCATGGACAAATGAAATAAAATATCACAAACCGTAACCAAAGTCCAGTTGAGCTGTATATATGATGAAATTAGAAGAGAGTCCTCTACGAGTTCTTTTAACTTTAGGACATATGTGATCATGATTATCCACAATTTTTATTATTATTTGTGAATTTCTACAAGTTTATGGGAAAGATAGTGGCATGATTTCCCCATTGCCTTCTCTACCGTTTTTAATTCAGAGTTGTTCTCCTCATAGGCTAGCTATGACCCAAGGCTAGAAAGCCCAGTCTACCCTGCTATTTAATCCATAGCTGGATAGAGAAGTGATGAATTCATGCCTTTCCCAATGATGCCTGAACAAGACTCAGGATCTGAAGACAACTCACCAATTTCGCTTTCTGAGCAGAAGTACTTTGAACAAGATTGGCTTAGATCAATGGAAGGAAATGGTGAAAGCATTCAAAATTAGTTAACAAAAAGAGTGTAATATTCTATCAGGATCACAGTTTAGTAAGGACGTTTTGACTCATCTGCCATATTCACCTGAAGTTTAACATTTATTCTTACAAAAATTTTCTTAACCCTTCCCAGATGTAAAGGGGAACATGTTATTGAATCAGCCAAAGCAATATGGTTTCCATGTAGTGGCAACAGGCTTTGAAATTAGAGATTTATTTTTCATCAATAGAATTTCAATTTCATTGCAAACAAATTTTTGAATGCTCTGGAAGCCTGATGAAGCTGGGGAAATAAATGAATTTAATTCCAATGATAACTTAAGACTTATTCAGTGCATATACTGTTGATGGAAACACCTACTGTTATATTTACAATGTTTGGCATTTTTCCAGCATCATTCTTGCATTCAGTTTCTCTGGAAGACTGCAAAAGCTCCAAGAGCAGTTCTTTGACAAGGATAAAACGTAATGAGAAGATAGAATTATGAAATTATCTGAAAGATGGCAAAAGATAGTGGGGGAAAAAACTAAATATGTTGTTCAATGAAGTAAATGTTGAAAATAAATTTATCTTTTATTTATACTTAATAAGTTAAACAAACTTTTAGCTACCCAATATTACACATTTCAGAATTTTTAAAATGTTTTTTGTAGTTATAGGAAATAAATTGCAATTATTTGATTTATATATTATTCAGAGATATAATCAGATTTTTACCACATCATAATTCAAACAAAGAAATTTCTTTTTCAGTACCAGTTTGGAAAATGGTATAAAGTATTTAATTAAAACTTACCAGTGAAAAGCACCAAAATGGAAATATACTGTCCCCAAACCATAGAGAAATGATGCATCCTGAAAAATATTAAAACTGTTAGGCAAAATATCAACAAGGATGGTAATATAAAGAAATGAAACATTTATAAACAAAAATGTTATTAGTTTATAAATTATGTGAACATCCAATACATATAAGAAAACTGAGAAATACAAATTATTTCAATTTGATTCCATATGCACACCGAAACAATACTCCATATTATTAACAGCAAAATAATATTTTGTTTTTGTTTTCAGAAAGTTCAACAAAAAAAGTAATAATTTATTTTTCCATAATTTTTATCATTACTTTCATTAAAATAATGGATTAAGTAATAAATTTTTGATTTGTATAATTACAAATCAATAATTTATTGCTCTACTCATTATTTATAGTTTATAATGTATAAACAAGCAATTAGATAAACCTATGCTATATCATTCTAATAGGATATATAGCAAAGAGATGGAATACTTTTTTAGCTTGTACTGATTAGGTACCAGTTTGTCATACAAAGATTTTTAAAATGTTATGGACATTACTGAACTTGAATAGTAATAAAGTCAAGAATTTATATTTTTCTCCAAGTACATTTTTGAATGTGTCATAATTCAAAAGTTTAATCAAGCAGAAATAATTTTAACTTATTCCATTTCTTAATGTAATTTATCTTTTTAGACAAGTTTCTGGTGAGATGAAGTTTCCAACTTGTCACTAGCTATATGGGTCATGTAGGAGAAACAGCATTTCCTTTTTACTTGACAAGACAATGATGAAAAAGCTAGCAAACAATATTACTGAAAATAAGACATTTATTTTTCATCAATAGATAACTGAATTTCAATTTCATTGCAACCAATTTTCTTTTAGCACATATGCATATATGTGCTAAAAGAATTTGATTTATGTCAATGAATATCCATCTAGTAAAAAAAAACATAAAATATACAATTCAAAAAACATGAAAAACTATAACCAGTTTAAATATTGTAACAAGGCAATTCCAGGTCACTCCCCCAATAATGGGATATAAAATTACTTTGGTGACTGTAAACTCATTCTGAATTAAAATCCAAGTTTCTAATGTTTACAATAAGAATTTCCAATTTTGTCAAGTGACATTGTATAAGCTTCTTACAATATGAATGCAAAAATGAGAATTAACTGTTACAAATTTTTATAATTGCAATTTGTAAGTAATTTTTTTAAAAATATAATAAACAGAACTAGTGATAAAGTCAAAGTCATAAATTGTAAACCAGGACTAAGAATTCATAAGAAAAAAGCAAAAATTCAATGTGATAGATCCAAAGATTCTACAAACAGATTTGTTAATGACATCTATGTGTAAAAAAATATCCCAGAAACTGATAAGAGACTTAAACTGATGAAAATTGTTTATCATAAAACCTTTGACTATATTTACCTAAAAACCCCAGTTGACGTTTTTCAAAAAAGTCAACAAGTTTATTTCAGTTGTATATATTCTGTCAAAGAAAAATTACCATGAAATGTTTTAAAATTATTCCCTTCATCAAATGAACAAACAGGGTACCAACAATTATTTAGCTAATCTTTAATAAGGATACTAAAAATTAATCAAAATGATAGTAATGTCTACAGCGACAGATTATGCTAGTGAACATTTTGAATGAAAATTGACTTTATTTTCTAGATTTATAAAGTTTGTAGAAATTGTAAACTTTACAAGTTCTAGAATGCCCATTTTAAGGAAACATTTTGCCATATTTAGAATATGAAGCAAAGAATTTTGTATTTGAGATGGAACTTTACAGTTTTGGTTCTTTTGTCTGCTGGCCAACCTAACAAATTTTGGAAGGGAAATATAAAGACACGAAGAAGGCCATACTTAGACACAAAACAATTTTCATGTGTATTATGTAAAATAAGTTTTACAACTTCAGAAGTAAGCAGCTATTAATGCTGTAATTACTATGAGCTACAAGTAACATAATTTCACTTTATGCTTAAGTAGTTGTAAAACATTTTTTTTTTATTCAGAAATGTCTCAGATTTTAAACTGCTCACATAAGACAAATTAATTATGTAATAAGAGAATAGAATATTGGTTTATAATTTCTCCTGGACTAATGTCTTACAAGTTTTACATAAGTGATGATTTTAAAAAGTAGAAAATTTTCACAATTATAAAGTACGGAAGACCAACCAGAATACAATTAAGTTGCATTATTTGAGTTAAGCATTGTTTTCCACTGTTAAGGCCTTTACTTTTGCGAAACACGTGTGGAGAAGTTAATTTGATTTTTCAATTTCAACTGAGAAGGGTACCTACAAGTATCAGTATCATCTTATGAAATTTATATGATCTTATTTTTATATTAATCTCATTTATGACATTTTTCCATAAATGAAATATCAAAATTAAATATAAAATGAATGGAAATACAACACAGTAAAATGTAATAAATGTACATAAAATTATAGTATTTTATGTACACTTCTGATAAAAAATTTCATAAGATAGGTACCTATAAATTAATTAGATACCTTTCTTATGAAATATGAATTTTAATCTCACTCTTAACAGTCTTATTTTAATCTCTTTATAATATATTTTCCATAAAGCATCGTAAGCTAAGAAAAAAAAAAAAAAAAAAAAAATTAGAGCACTGAAAAATAATGAGGTAAATAATTTGTTCACTTAAATGTAAATTATTCACTTTTCTCCTTCCGTAGAACAAATTAGCCTCACGGAATCCGTCAATATGTCATTCATTACCTGTCAAGTGACGCAAAAATTTATGACCTGCTTTGTTTTATTTTCAAATTACATCTTTTCGGTGCAGAAGCTAAGTTAAGCTTGGTTCAAAATATTTAAAATAAACATTATAAGTTCTGATTTCCTTAAAATAATTTTTGAAAAAATGATAATTGATATTTAAAAGAATTTCAAAATGAGATTTCCAGTTTTTTTATAAAATGGAAAAAAAAAAAAATGGTCAATTTTGCTAACTCAAAAAACAAAAAAAAAAAAAAAAAACCAAGATTTTTAACGAAAATTTCGGACTTTTCGTTAAAAATTTTTTTTTTTTTTTTTTAATCGATCCGATTAAAAAATGTAAAAAAATACCCCAAAAATACTTTGATCTTTCCTCTTAACAATAACAAACATTTAGACAATAAAATTTTGTTTTCGTCAAGTTTGGCTTCTTTTTCATCGTGTTATGCTCTTTTTTTTTAGCGATCTCGTGGAGGTACCGATGTAATATTCCAGCTAATACATGGCAATAAATCCAAGATGATAACTATATTATAGGTATTGTAGGAATCACAATTTCTTGCTTTCCATATTATTACTTTTCATTGCTTGTGACAATTTGTTTAAAAAATTATATAGTTCAATAAACTTACTCATGTAAAACACAAATATCAAAGAAACCTAAATGGTACAAATTATTTTCAATGCTTAGACAATTTGAGCATGGTGGTTATCTTCCATATCTTCTAATGCTCCTATGTCAATACTTGATGGTTAACAATATCAACTAGTCTAATCAACTGCGAAATATGGCTTAGAAAGGAATTTTCAGCATGAAACCACTTTCCAAGTATTTTATAACACAAATATTCATCATTTCAATTGCAATTTTGCTTTTCTTAAAAATGAAAACAATATGCTAAAAGTGTTTCAACATAATAAAAGAATATTTGGTAATTTTGATAAAATTAAAAAGAATTTTTTTTTTTAAATTTTAAAAATCTGCATGCAGATCGGACAGATGTCAGATAACAATGAAAAGCAATCATTTTTAAATAAAGTTAAAATACAACAAAACCTTGTAATGTCATTACAGAACAAAAGAGAAGGAACTTTTGACCCATCCAATAAGTCAAATAGTTTAGGTCTACAAAAATAGTATACAGCAGTTTTCAAAATAAACATTAAATTTGTACAACTATATTCAGTTATAAAAACAATGGATCAGGTTTTATAACAAAGTAATGCTAAAATTGAAAAAAGTGAAATTACCTAAGTTTCTTATAACACATTTTATTATTCTTAGTTTAATGCCAGTAATATATATTACAATAGAAAATAAAGCATTTTACTTACCTTCCAGTGTTCATGATTTGAATAATAATATTTCTGATAAGCAGAGAGTGCTAAAAAAAAAAAAAAAAAAAAAAAAAAAAATATATATATATATATTTAAAATTGACAGTATTGTACACAAGAAAATATTAAGACAGATCAGTTTGAATAGCTTAAATTATTCCAGTTAAAAGAATATTGGTAAACCTATGATTTTATTATGAACTAATTTTTGCAATTTTTTTTTTTTACTCAATATGGTTGTTAGCTTGCCTGAAGAGCACAAAGATTCAAGATTATCAAATAAATGGCAAATATATCACCCAAATATTTTCAGATGTTACAGTGAGACTAATTTCTAACAAACAACTCATCTTTATAGTTCATTCATTTATTAACACATTAAGTTAGGTTATATAGATTTTTAATAAAATAAATAAGATTTGGCTTTTTCATAGTAAATTAAAAACATACCTTTGGCATATTGCTCTAGAAGTAGATGCAAATGACCAAGTTCACAATATAAAGATGCAATTGGAGAATTTTTGCTGTTAGTCGGATCCTTGGCAAGAAGCATTGCATGCTCTTGAATTTTTTGTTGGTAAAAAACAATACCCTAGAAACAAAAACATTTGAAATTAAAATCACTTCTAGAAATTTTCTGTAGACAACAACAAAGAAATTATTTAATATATAAGATGATAGCATGAAACCAAACAATCTTTTTAATCTTCCATAACTTCCAGTATTAATATTATTTTTTTTTAGAAATTGTCCATGCCAATTTTCTAAAGTACAATAATCATTTTCTCAACAGTTTTCACACAAAGATAAATTTTAGTTTCACAAATGAAAAACATTTTTCATAAAATTCATTGAATCAAAGTCATTAACATATTTTTGTTAGTAAGTGAAATATATTAACTAAAAACACCCACTTTTAATAAGAGTTTTTGACCAATATTAGATCTCATTAGCATCAATTCTTACCCTATGAGAACATTGAACTTGAACACTACTCAAAGCTGATTTTTATAACATTGTAATCAGAATTGGTTAAAAAAAAAATCAAGTATGGGTCAAAACATAACTTTTATATAGTAAACTATATAAAACTTATCTCTACAATATATACAAATTCAGTTAACTTGTAATTTCATTATGCATGAACAAATAAATTGATAACAATTAGTTTTATTCAGCTTAAAACCTGATTTATGTAGCAAATACAATTGTCAAAATTTGTGCTTTGGTTATAAATTTCTATTTTTTTCAATGCTGAATACAAACATCATCAATAATAAACTTAACCAAATTTATAAACCATATTTTTGTAATCAGCAGATTTGTATTTTTCAAAGTATTTTGTTTTCCGACTAGTTTCCTATTTTCAATTGATGGGTTGATTTCTAAATTAGCAATATTTTTTACAAAACAGGTTAAATTCTTACCCGTGGTTATTAGAGGATAAAAAAAAGCCTTATTTTATTCTTTTGAATTAAATAAAGACAAATATTTACGCTGATATCTAACAGTAAACAAAAACAAAAAAAATGGAATTGTGTAAGAAGACTGTTGAGTACTGTTTTTACTTGTTTGTATATAGACAATACTTTTTTTTTTAATTCAAGTTTTTAATTGAACTTGGATTTGGTATGGAAAATATGCAACTGTCTCAGCCACAATGCATTGTCAATCAATAAATTCAAGTAGGTAATTAAATTATAAATTTTAAAAAAATACATAAATCAGACGAATTTTAAGCTTTAATATTTCATATCAAAAGTACAAGGTAATTTAATTAAGTTTTCGATTTCGTTTATTTTCTAGTCACTATCATTAAGTTTATCATTTTATTATTTTAAATAACTTTTTAGTTATGTTAAAAGACTAGTAAAGTAAAATGTCTCAATTCGATAAGTCCATTTTGAAGTTTTATTTTAAACATAAAAAATAAAATTAATGGATTTGAGTGGTTGAGACTCATCAGTGTAAAAGTGGAGTCTGATGTTTGATCTGTTATATAATCTAAGTTAAGGTATATTTGTTAATATAAATTTGCATAAAAATAGTTCAACAGTTAACCATCCATATTTAAATTTAACTTTCTAAAGTAGGCCACACTTGCTGCTTACTGGCTAGTTTGATGGAAACACTTTACAACACATGGCGCTCATTTTCAAAATAGATTTTACATTTATAGTATCTTATTTACTACATTATTTTCATTGGGGAAAAATTGTTATAGTTTTACAAATTCTCTCGAATAAACGTTTAATCAAATAACGGTAACGCCTTTTCATAGGAACATTAGATATGATTTAAAATTATGTTTCTTGCACTGTAAAAAAGTTATTTAAAAAAACAAAGAAACATTTAAAACTTGAGTTCCCAATATTGGAATTTTGACAGTCGATAGCCATAAAATTAACATTTATGTGGAAAGATTTTACAATTTACTAACAACTAACAGTTACATAACAATAACATCCACTCAAGATACTTTTTTAAAAATGCGTTCGATTTAAACAGAGCTTTGCTATTTTCATATTATGACAACTTAAAAACAAAACATTAAATTTGCAACTTTTGACAACAAAAATCCAATAATTTCAATGGAGATAAAAGTTCCACTTCATTTTTTAATCGTTTCAACTACTTTAAAAATTAAATCTCAAGTTTTTTTTAAGTTTTAATGATTAAAGCAACCCCTAAAAGTACTTTATTTTAAAATACTTATGCCAAGCACTGTATAAATGATGCATCAAATTTTAGAAAAATAACTAAAAATAAAAGGATTAACGTTAATTTAAAATTCAATGTTTACATCCTTCTTAGAGATGGCGCCCCTTGTCATCAAAACAAATAAGAAATGGTCCCCCTATGTTCACTGGCACTTAGCCAACAAACAACTCCACCAAGTAGCATAAAACAGACAAATTATTTATTCCCCATCAGCACCTCTGCTTAAAACATAATCTGGCCTGATTTCTACGCCTTAACCCTTAGTTTGGAAAAGGTTTAAGTGAAGAAAAACCAAAGAAAAAAGTACGACGCAAAAGTGTCCCGATGATTAGGGCCAACAACACCTACCCGCTCCAGCAGACTTCTCTTCACTTCGCCTCCGTCATCGAGTTTTAGGAAACCAAATAATCGACTGGAAAAAAAAGATAAACAGAAGAAATTCATCAAGAAATCAAAGAAATGAAAACACAACTATTTGTTTTTCTTGAATTTAAATCGGAAGCCCAAAGTCAGTGTTGGCACTAAAATAATCACAGAGTAAGGTGTTGTATGTCATGGCCATCATTGGCGGTGGCTGGTCGTCATATCACAATGACCTACGAGTTTGAGTTGTGCGGAGACAACACACTCACATCATAAACATATTCTAAACAAGCACACCATACGAAAGGGCTTTCCATAAACAAACCTGTCGATATCGGAGAGACTTTGACGCTCTTCGGTACTAAGAATTGACTCGGGAACAATTTCCATAGTCATTGGGGTCTCCTTGCCGATCATGGCACAAGGTGTAAAATGCGAACGTAAAGTGTCGACGACGTAAAAAGAAGGAAGAAAAAACAAGAGGCGACAACTGCGATAATGGCTGCTGCTGCTTGCCTTGACCTCACAACCTTCTTCAACTTTGACATCGATTATCAACCAATCACAGCCTTTCATGCAGCTATATCCAAAATACTACCCGACTTTTTAACCGGAATGAAACCTCTCTTCTTCCAGTCATTTAAATTTAAATTTAAAACTAAATTAACATTAAAAAATTGAACCCATTTATCAGTATTATTTGCTTTATTTTTTTTAATAATAATCTTTTTAAATCAATTAATATAACTTTTTAAGAATAAAATGCATTTCCAAAATTATTATTTTTTACAACTGGAATAACGCCACGAGTTATAAGTAATTAACATTTTCCAAAAATTAAAATAAATTAAGTATTTACCAGTTAGATATTTTTCAATTAAAAATATTTCTTTAAAAAAAAAATAAAGCTACTTCTTTCAATTTCTTCTCTTAATAATTCTAACCTGAATTATTTCTCGTGACACTTGTAATAAAATTAAAAAGTTTATCCCCACCGCCACACGCCCCTTAAAAAGGAAAAAAATTATAAACTAAAACTTTTTCCAAAATTCTCAACTTGCGAGAAATTCGTTGGGTATAATAACAAAATATTTTTAGGAGTATGCACAAAAATTTAAGTTAGTAGTAAATGAAATTAAAAATTTTAATTTTTTCCCCATAAAATATGATTATGTTGCTCATTTTATAAAAAAGACAAATATTTGACAACTTAGTGGCTGGCTCGTCATGACATAACTACTGAATAAGGATCATTATTTTTTTCTACTTCTTTCCACTTGTAGATGTTCACCGTTAATTGCATTTTGGAATAATTATGCGTATGATTAAATTATGACAACCAAATTAAAAAACGTTACCCTAAAACTACTTGTTTTAGTTTTACAGACTACTTTGTTTCCAGGCCGATTTTGATGAATTTTTTTTTTTTTTTTTTGTTAAAACCATAAAACGTCAACCAGTGCCATATTTTACTAATGAGTTGTTCTGTAACAAAAAAAAAAAATACGTACCTTAAAAACGGACATTTTTTAAATATTAGTTAAAATTTCTGAGTATAAAATGTTTATTAAACTAGCTAAAATTTGTGCTAAATACATCTAGCCAAATTCCTAAAAAGAGCCCCTGCTAAACTAAACATATTTTCACCTTACTAGCAGATAATATTTTAAAATCGTATTTATTCGTCTATATAGCTACTTTAAAAACTTATATTTTTGTTAGATTACGTACGTCACTTAAAACGGGTTGGTGAAAATTTGTTTGAAGTCAAGTGATGAAGTTCCCAATCAAGTGTATGCCAGATTTTACAGTAGAAATGCTTCCCAAGTGCCCATTTATGAACTTGTCACAACTATGGAAAATTAAATTTTATTTGAAGAATCAAGAACTCTACAGAATTGTTTTCACATTTCAGCATGAGCTAAAAATATGGCTGCACCAAATTTTGAAAAATACCTTTATCATGTTATAAAAAAATATTAGTTGTTAATTAATATTTACTCCTTATTAAATATTAGGATTACACATCTTTATATTAATCATTATTTTTTTATATTTCAAAGAGGTTAGTAACAACAATTTGCTCTTAATTAAAGTGGTTTATTTTTAAAAAAAATAAATATACCTTATTGGCATAAATTGAAAATCCTGTAATGCATATTTGCTGTTTAAAAATACAAATTCATTTGGATTCAATGGAAAAATATTTTAGCCATTTACAAATTGATAATCTCACTGAAAACCTGAGCTTTGTTAATTTTTAACAACTTCCAAAAACAAAATATGAGACAGAAAACTGTTAAAAAAACATATGCCATTTCTCTATTGTTATTCTTCTCAACTCATCTTTATTTCTCCAATTTCGTATTGTCCTAGCTCAGGAATGTAATCTTTGCGGTTAAATATTTGTTATAGTAATCATGTTACAAGCTTTGTTCGAAGTTTGTCTTAAGCTACTACCTTTTATCATTGATTCGTAAACAGAAATATTCCCATCCAAATATAACCAATTATACATTAATGATCCTAAGAATAGAATCAGTATTTGGAAAGAATAAGGGACATTTTGCTTTTGAATGAAAATTTCAGCAGCTTTCCTGTATGTTTTATATTAAATGTTTTTCATATAAAGGCACTTAACCTCTACAACTTTTAAATAAAACTCTGGAAAGTTTTATGCATTAGCTAACAAGTTTTAAAAAATAAAAATGGAATGGATAGAGAGTAAGAGAACTCAATTTTAGAACAATAAACATATTTATTGTCTTTTAATTCATTTAATAATTTAATCATAATTTATTCATATCTAAAAAAAACAAAAAAAAACTAGGCCTATGTTTAATAACAGTAGTCTTTGCGAAGTTACCTAAATAAGATAAATCAGTGATTTGCTTCGATGACTTTCTTATAACTTTGAGCTAAAACAAGATTCTTTTATAAGTTATTAATATCACACAAATTAATTGCTTATCCTTTTATATAGCTTTTGGATGATTGGAAATAAAACCAAATGTAAGTTCAAAATATATTGAAAAATTTATATAATAAAAAAATATAAAATTATATAAAAATTAATTAAAAGGTAAATATAAAAATAAGGCAGACACTTTGTTGGTATTGCATGTATTATCTGATGTAAAAAAAAAAAAAAAACTGCCAAAATGAAGCCTGATGGTTTATAAAAAAAGATAGATAAATAAAATTTGGTTTTCAAAAACTCACCAAAAAAGGCTTAAATCTGATGGTCCCAAAACCCACCAAAATAAAGTTTATGAACAGGCATGGCTTAAAGAAATACATTTTGTAATTTTTTAAACAAGTGAGGAAGACACAGCCCCATAATATTAAAATTTTTATTCAATTTGGAGCCAATGGTTATTTAAGAAGTTTGGTTTGTCTGACAGAGATGAGGGTTTTGGCTTTTATAGACAAATGACTGGTGGCTCTTTCTGGGATCTGAATGAAGCTGAACTACAGAAGACAAGGGAAGAAAAATAAAGGGAGGAAACAGAAAGAAGATTCTACAAATTTAGAAAGATATATGAGTATCTTTCAAACTTATGAACATTTGAGATTCGTTTGATTTTTTAATCTCAGTTGATAAAATTGAACTATTCTCCAAGAAAACAAACCAGAAACCCAGTGACACCTGTCTTCCTTCTCAACCCCTTTTGACAGTTGAATGTATGGAAATACGTGAATATTAACTGTTTTTTTGATCAACAGAATTGTATTTAGTATTGTTACTTTGCCTGTTTGATGAACAAAGGAAAATTTTGCGCAAATTTATTTGTACATTTTGTTTTCTCTATTATTATTTTTATATCATGTGTTAATTTCTTTCAAATTTCATACTGGAGTAAGAGTTTTGTGTTTTTTCATTTGTACTATTCAAAATACACAGGATAAGAGATTTTACATTCTCTCTTCTTTTCCTTCTAAAAAATAACTTTAAATATAAACCAGAAATCTTTAAGACAGAATCAAAATCAAAAACAAAAATGTATAAAGGTACTCCAATCACATTTAGAACAACATGCATGACCGGGAAAATATATAATTGAAATAAAATAAATAGAATTCAGAAAAAATGAGCTCATTATGACTGTCATACTAAGGTCATTTGCGTTCCAAAATAAAGATCCAGAAGTTTGACATGGCATTCTTAAACTTTCTTAAAACTGGTTTTCCTCATTAACTCTGAAAGCAAAATACAATTACTTTCATTGAATAATCCTTTATTTTTTAATTTCCAAAGATATTTGTTGGTTGACAATGTAATAGCAATAAAGTCACTGATGATTGTAAAATGACAGTAAGTTTCATAGAAATCATAAAGTCCATACTCTAGTAACTTCAATGTGATAGAATAGCAAGCTTATCTTGCTAGATCAATTATGAGTAGTGAGTTCAATCTTCACTGGGTGTTCCACACCTTCACCCTTCTGCCACATCTAAGTTATGCTTAGAAAATCATTTTGGGCACTTTGATGTGGCGTAATAGTTACCAAGCTTGACTCGCTAGATCAATTACAACTGAAAAGTGTTTGATCCTCACTGGATGCCCTTTTGGTCTTGAGCGACATATGTTATGCTTAGAAAATCACCATAAGGTCCATACTGCCACTAGTAGAATTAATTATAACAGTAAGAGTCTAAACACAGCAGATAAGTTTGTCAAAAGTTGATGCATTCATGTGAATTGCAAGTTGTCTTTACATTTATTGGTGAAATTACAGATTAACCTCTATGCCTTTAGTCCAAAGATCTGTAAAAGTAAAAAAAGAATTAAACTGACCAAAAACTTGAACATTTGAAATACTTCAGACTGATCTGTTTCTGCCAGAGATTTAGATCATTTTTTTTTTTTTTTTAAATACAATGATGTTCACCCCTGTACAAAGCCCAAGAGCCACTCACGGTAGAGGGTTACAGAGTAAGAGGCACAGTTTATAAGGAAGATCTATTTAAGGAATCGTATAGATGATGGCGGGAAAATTTTTCAAGATGCAATTGTACTTTTTTTTTACTGCAATACTGTTCAGTCCTCATATTAATACAACCATTTACATTCTAAGATCAATCAGAAAAGTTTCTCACTAACTTATTTTAAAAACAGTACCCAAATTCTTCAAATTGATTGAAAGTGGAATAGGTGTCCAGTTCATCTTCTATAGCATTTTGTGCTTTTCTCTAATGGCTAGCAAGCTTATCTTGCAAGATCTATTACAACTTAGTGAGTTTGATCCTCCTTAATCTCAGACAACTAAGTTATGCTTAGTAAATCACTAGTCTTGGCTTTAACATTTTCAAAAACAAATGACAGAAAATTTAACTCAACATGAAATGAGTAACATGCACAATTTCTAGAATAGTTATGTAATTGTAAATAGGATCTTTTCTTGAATTAGCTGTAGTCAAATACAGTACTAACTTTTCAAAATTAGTCATTAGTGACAGTTAATACTCAAGCTGCAAAATAGCTAACGTCATAAAACTATTTTATTGTAAAATAACTCTAGATGACTACACTCCAAAAGCTTCAGTTCACAAAACAAGCTAAGATTCTTTATATA